TTGATGTACTGTGCATAAAAGAAATAAAAAAGTGAACATCCTGAATAACTTTTGATCAGATGATCAGATTTTTTACGTACTAAAACTTAATCTTAATGGTTCGAGAGCCTTATCGAAAATACGCTATTTATTTAGCTCCCACGATACTTTAAGTTAAGATATCCGACATAAAAACGTATTATCCTCAGCTTATGCAATATATATTGCTTATGCTTTAAATAGGCTAAGCTTAATTAGTGCTATTTATTAATTTAGTTATGAAATCAGAGTTTAAGTCATAAAATTAGAGCTAAAAATGTACTTTCTCTTAATAAACGTACCTTCTTTAGGAGGGATTTGGATCCTGGACCCTCAGGATATAAGAAGTTGGAAAATATGATCCCAATAATTCAAATAGGAAAAGGGTCTAAAGTTTGGACCCTTTAATGCTAAATTTATAATTTTTTTTACGTATTTTTCGATATCTCAAGAATTTTTTAAGCGAATTGGCAACATTTTCAAACAATTACAAAATTTGTTTATCCAAAGTTCCATGGATTTAGACGGTGAAGAAATGTAAACTACATAGTCCATACATTGGAATGACCAAATGATATCCGGAGCTTTATTAGTTTGAATAACAGACTGTTAAAATAACACATAATCTTCATCGATTTATTTCAAATTTTGTATTTTAATTAAAATAACGAAAATATTTATATGAATTAAGCAACATGTTTGTACAAATCCGCAATTCTAAACACATTATTCTGAGTGATTATTTGTAAACATTTGCAAAGATATTCTTAATATTAGCTGCATGTAAACAGTGAAACATTTATTATTGTAAGAAAAGAATAAAAGAGCATTGCTTTTGATGCAAAGATCCGCAAGAAACCCAATCATGTTTGGCGAAACTTTAAATAATTATGTGATAAAGGCTTCTAACTTTTCAAGTAGAACTACTAAATTCAAACTCTAAGTGCCAGAAAATTGCTTTTATCAAGCTATTGTCATATCATGTCTACAAAAGAACTTATTGTAATATTTTTTCAAGCATTTTAAAGTCACAATTTAAAATCTTTCGAAAATTAAACTCCTTAGAATTTCTTTTTTATTTCTTTAAAATTGAACTCGATTAAAATCTTTCAGAATTTAATATAAATTTTGAATTTAGTTTCCATCTAAAATTGTATTGTAGTTTTTTGGATCCTTTTTATGTACGTTTTTATAATCGAAGCTACGTTGTTTTTTCTTTTTTTAATTCTAAAATGGCCACACTAAATTTAGTAGTTGTACTGAACATCATCACTTTTTAAAAATAACTTTACCATGTATCGGCTTCAGCATAGTTCTAAAACTCTTTATTTTATTACAATTCAATTTAGTTCATATTGAATGTGATCTTTGATTTTAAAACTTTAGCTTGACCTTTGCAAGCGTTTGAGGCGATGAATGTAAGTGAAATTTATGAAGCACCTGTTCCCACGATCCATTGTCTTCTGGACAAGGAACCGGAGCGTCAGAACAGGAAGAATAATTTCTCGAATAATTGCTTATTATAGTTTGAAAGAGAGGGGACAAAATAAATTTTGATCTTATAATTAAAACAAACTGGAAACAGTCTTCATTCTCCCTTTGATAAATGATTTTTTTTTAAGGAGCATTCAACTTCAGTTTCTTAGAATACGTGAGTCTGCACATGCAGCTTTCAATAGTATTCTGTTTGCCTAAAATTAAAACAGCAATCTGCTTCCTTTACGCTGTGAAACAAATAGATTTAAGCCATTTTCGATTTCATAAACTGATATTAAACTCTGAAAACGTTTTTTTTCTTCAAAAAATTCATATATTTCAAAAAATATTTAGGGATTGTTTACTAATGGGTCCGCTGTTCGAAATTACTGGATTGTGAATGTACTACTAAGCTGTAGTTCTGTACCATACAAAATTATATACCATTCCACAATACTATTCACAATTATATTGTCATTATTGTCACACCTTTTTTAGACAAGCATGAAGTCTTGAATACAATTAGTGATTTAGAACAAAACATGGACGTCGTTGGCGTGGGAAACGATGGGTATATGTTACCCTCAATAATTGGAAATCTCTGAAAGTGACCATCAATATTTCAGACGAATAGAGAAAAAAATTTATGATTTTCCCTGATTTAGCTTCAATTAATTTAATTACAAATTTTTAGCAAATATTGATAGATAAAGGCAAAAAATTGTTTCTTTTTTGATGGGTGAATTTTCATATGTAAACTATAGCTATTCTAACTGTGTATTTTAACTTTTCCCTTCTAGACTGGATTACTGCAACGCCCATGGAACAGAAAAGAAAAGAAAGAAAAACGATGACACAGATTTCTTATTAAAAAATGTATATTTATTCATTTATGTCCTACTCCATAATTTGCACTCATAAAAAAATACCCTTGTTAAGAAAAAAAAAAGCTAGAGCATAATTAACTTATAAATTAAGGTTTTGTTTTCCTTCGTAGCTGCATAAATAAAAAATAATAAAAATAAAAATAATTATTGATGCCGCTTTCACAAACAAGAACATTTTTTACCGCGGATGCTTTTAATTCTCTTAATGATATCAAAATCTTTTCGTTTTTGAGTTATGTTATAGCAAAGTTGAATTAATTGTATTTTTGACGTATTTTTCAGCTTAGCTAAAATTGTTAGCCGTAGAATTATAAATTTATAAATTTTTGCACCTACGTACGCCTATGTCTGAAGATAAGATGTTTAATACTTCTCCCTCTTTTTTAAATATTGAATAATTTTTGGGGATATTGAATTCAGGGCCGTCTTAATAGCCAGACACAGAAATGTTTGGGCCCTTATAACATGTCCTACTGCTTAAAATCAAACTAAAAAACTTCACATACATAAAATAAAACATTTTTAACACGTGCAATAATTTGAACAAATTTAAATACATTTTGATTTCCCCAAAAAACTTAATCCACATAAAAACTTCATTGGAACTTAGAAAAATGGATTTCGTTTACCTTTTAAAGTTTTCCTGGTGATAAACTATTCAAATTATTGTAGTTTGCATGATAATCAATCACTATTTGTAGATAGAAAAACAAAATAAACACTTTATACAATAGAATATATTTACTTAAAAAAATATCTAAGGCAATTTTGTTTATTCTTAGTTTTTTTAAATACAATTTATAAAAAGTACGATTCTCTGGGGCCCTCAGGCTCTGCCCGGGTATGCCCATGCGTGAAGACGGTATTGAATGATCTAAAGTTTCTATTTCTTATGAAATTCATTTCTATAGTTTCGAAAGATAAAAGAAAAGTTCGTAATTTTTTCTTAGTTTTTGAAGATAACCTTTCCAAATAGTTTGCATTCATTAAAAAAAATGAATTATTTTAATTAGTGGACTGGATATTATTATGTACCTTTATAAGTTTATATTGAGAGATTTTGAGCTTTTCTAACAAAGTTTCTTCTATGGAAAATCTGTGACCTTGTGTGAATCACATGTCAGCTTGAAAAAGAAAGATGTTCTAATAATGATACATTTTTTTCTTCCTGTCATTTCTCTTGACTGAAACATATTCTTACATTTTTATGCTTTTCTCCTTAGCTTATTTTCACGTATTGCTATCAAATAATTAGCCATTTTATGATGTATTATAAAAAAAAGGTTACAATACAAAATTCAAACCATATATTAGTATATGAGTAGCTAAATGTCTTAGTTTTAAAATCAGTTTTAATTTGTGTACTAAGAACAAATATCAATAATATAAATAATTCGATCATCCACTACGGGATGGGGGGGGGATGAATATGAGCGGCCGAAGCCAGCCCTGGGGCCAATGCTATCTGAAGGAATGAATCTGCGTAGAAGTTTCTTAAGTTGGCAAAAAAGGAAATGGAGCTCCTTAATGGTTTCAGAAATCATAATAGTGTCATGGTTTCAGATCTCCAAACGTCTTTTGCTGTTTTTTTTTCTTTTAATTTATTTATTTATTTTTTACAATGTTATGAAATGTCCTAGATAAATGCTAATAATGAAATAATTAGGCTACAACTTCTTTTTTTTTTCAGAAAAAATGGAATACTTATTTGTTTATTGAAGAAACTATAAAGAATAAGATGCTATTATTCGAAGGATCGATCATTTCGCCTATAAAACGTTCATACTGAAAATTTTATTTACCAACTGAAAAAAAAGAAGAAAGAAAAACAAAGAAAATATTGATTTAATATGCTTCCGCTTAATCTGAATTTTAAAATATTCTCTGCAGGAGAACTCACAACTCGCATACCAAACTTTGGAAGTATAGGGCAAAATTAGGACAGGCGTTAGGATTTTGCTATTGACCAATGAAGAGCACTCATCCTAAAAATGACCTTTTCGATTTCTTCCTACATCTTTGAAAAGTTTTGTCAGAAAAATATTTGCAACAACCCTTTCACAATCTGTGTTTTGAACAGCAGAAGAGTGTTGTAAAGCAGCTAAAGAAAAGTAATTTAATTTTTTTGTCTTCAACATTATATTTTTTTTTCAATCTGTATAGATCTTTATTCTTAAATATTTAATGACTCGTTCACAAATATGTAATTCCGTCCAGAAACAGTGATGAAATAAAGAAAACCTCTTTATCAGAAGACCATTTTAGTGACACCATAAATTATCAATTATCGCTGGAGACCAAAAATGTTTAATTTTCTTTTAATAAAGGATTTTCAATTCCTGAAAAAAATCGTATTTTCTGGAGTCGACAGAAGAACGTACAGGGAGAAGAACAAAATCAAAATCTTACCTATATTTCAAGCGTATAATCCAATATAACACAGGATGTTAACACGTTAGGAACACAAGTAGGAAGAATAACTTTCTCGTATAGAAAAACAACGAATGATTGAAGAAGAAACAAATGAATGTGAGAAAGAAAAAAAAAACGGGAGCAATGGAATCTTTTCCTTCTATTTCAGACGAGAGCTAAATTTACCCCCCTGCTTTTTTGGCTGAAGAGTAGAATGCCTCCCCACTCAGATTTAAAAAAAATGAACGAAAAAACTTAAGAATGTTTTTTCTTTTGTTAGCGAGCAGCATCTTCAACCCAACTGCATTGCAACTAAGTGAGTAGAGCTGAAGGTTCATTTCACGCTTTTTAATTTAAGAATCTTTCTTAATTCTGACCATTGCAACTGAGTGAGTAGAGCTAAAGGTTCATTTCACGCTTTTTAATTTAAGAATCTTTCTTAATTCTAACCATTGCAACTGAGTGAGTAGAGCTAAAGGTTCATTTCACGCTTTTTAATTTAAGAATCTTTCTTAATTCTGACCATTGCAACAAAGTGAGTAGAGCTAAAAGTTCATTTCACGCTTTTTAAATTAAGAATCTTTCTTAATTCTGACCATTGCAACAATGTGAGTAGAGCTAAAGGTTCATTTCACGCTTTTTAATTTAAGAATCTTTCTTAATTCTGACCATTACAGCAAAGTGAGTAGAGCTAAAGGTTCATTTCACGCTTTTTAATTTAAGAATCTTTCTTAATTCTTTCTTAAGAATCTTCCACCGTTTCATAAAGGTAAAATGGGTGGCTAATGAAATGACGGTGAGTTTGATTTTTAACAGATTACGCTCGACAGACTGATTCCCAGACCAAAATTGCGCGAATTTCCAGATTTAAAATTTTAAACATACATGTACATTATTTAAAATTTACTTTCAAGTTGAATTTAATAACTAAACACATTAACTAATAGGTAAAAAATAAGAGTAAATTCAACTTTTAAAATTTTGCAATTGAAGTTTCCGATTGAATTTTTATAATTCTATTAAATTTCAAAATTCCATTTGTTTAGTTTTTAATTTTACTTTCTTTCAGGTTGCGTTTAATAATTTAAACAAATTTAATAGTAGGGAAAAATTAAAATAAGAAATAACTCTTTTTCAATTCCCATTATTGAAAAATAAATAATATCATACTTTCATTTTCAATTTTTTAGCACTGTAAAAACTATGCTGTCATATCTATCCGATTTTGGTATTGAAAGAAATATGATATTTTAAGTTAACAGATTCAAGTTAATACAGTAATACAATCAAGTTAATACAGCTAAATCACAACATCAACAATTGATAGAGCTTGCACCAAGCTCATATTCTTTTGCTCCATTCGTGAATTATTTTCGCCAAATTTGGCTCACGTTAGACGATTGATAATTTTTGCTTAAAAATAAGAAGAAAATGTGAAAGTTTGACATTGCTTCGCACGATACTAAACATTTTACAGAAATAGTTAAGGAATTATGATTGTTTCCGTCATAGCGAACTTCAACGTCTCATAAACAATTATTACTTTGTTTAAATTTCTATTTTATTTTAGAGCAATTAAATTAATTGTAATCACCAGCTCTTCAAATGCATCAACAAGAAAAGTAAGTTTCCCAACGATCTATCAGTAAACGATCCAATAGACAGGTGAAAAGAGTGAGAGATCTGAAAAGCTATAAAGTAATTGAAATAAACTGTAAAAAATATCACATAAAAATCGAATGTCACAGGATCGAAAAAAAAATCACTGACAAAACGTTTCAAATGCATCAATCATCCAATCAGAAAGGGGAACGTTACTAAATCAGAGGTTATTGTTACTTAAATGAAACATTTCAAATACCAGCTATAAATCTCTATAGAACATAAAAACAGAATGGTCTTATACAGTTTTTCATTGTTGTCTGCTTTTCTTTTTTCTCCATAAACTAATTTACAATTACAAATTTTTTTTTAAAGGCATAGACGCATTATAACGAATGAAGTATCAAATGTATTTCCTTATTTCTAACTTTGTATTCATCTAATTATTATAATTAGTTAAAATAGTTTTCATCGTTATCGTTAGATTTCTGAATTTTCATATACTCTTAAGCGGGCACTTCCTTGTCTTCTGGATTGGGTCCAAAATTATAAGGCTACGGAGTTGAACATCAGTAGTCGTAAACCCAAAAAATTGGGTCGGCTGTAAAATATAGTATCCGGTACATCTCTAATAGCTACCATTACTAAAATGTTATAAAACAGGCCAAATTAGACAACTTTTTTTTTAAAAATAGTTATCTATCCTCGCGGCAAACTATTCGCTTCAAACATTGCATAGAATACGGTAAGTAATGTTCTCCGCATTGAGATAGTTACAGCAAACAAATACAGATTTTATTAATAAGAATAGTCGAAATTAATCAGGAAAAAAAAAAACATGAATATCCTTAAAATTTGTTATGAAAAATGTGCGGGCTAATGAAAAAAAATCCTTGGCACACTTATTGACATGCGTTATTCCCGGACATTTCTGTTGTAACCCTTCTACACAATTTCTTCATTTGTCCAGTCCACATTTTTATCTTTTATTCATTAAAAATATTTTAAAGTAATGGAAAATTTCATCACCGTCCGATGTTTCACTCATAAATATAATTATTTTTAGGAATGAAAATGTTTCCAAGTTCGTTTTTCTTCCACAAATTTCTTGTAGCAGACGATAAAAGAATAATAAATTTCGAATGTATTTTAATTTTAGGCATTGTATATGCCCCTGATGTGATATTATTTATGTACTTTATCTCAAGCTATATTTTGCCTATTTCAGTCTTATTTCTTTACAGTGCTAAAAAAAATAATGAATCCTATTACTGAACAAATACTGAATCCTGTCCTGCTGATTCTTTTAATTACCGATTGTTATGCTACGGATAATGATTATAGCATTTAAGTTCTCAAGTATAAATGCACTCTTTATCCATCCTTAAACCTGATAAAAATCCAACTAGTCGGTAAGTATTGAATATTGTTTTATATTTGAATATCACTCAGTAAAAGTGTTTTATTCAGAATAAATGTGTATTCAACATGAATTCGCTTTTATTTAAAAAAGCAGCGATAAAAAAACCATCACAAAATGATGTAAACAGGCTTTGTTACAGAGTTGGTCAGCTTTGCCACGAGAATACTTCAATTATACTACGTAATGTGATTTAGCAATGTTTTTGTGCTCACTTCTTGAAGTCAAAGCCTACCCGTAATATTTAAGGATTATTTAGAGCCTGAAATATAGGTCGGACAAAGGCCAAATTTCGAGGTCTTGCCACTTGGCCTTTGAAGCCTAAACAAGAAAATTATTTATTAAAACCTTTTTATCATAATTAATAAATGCTGTATTTTTTATGCTTAATAACTATACTAAGCGTTTGTTTAAAAGTGATAAAAAGGTTTATAAAAATTTTATCACGAGTCCGAACTATGTTTTTTTTTCAGTAAACGAGAACGCTACGGGCACGGTCTTTTGGGCTCGAGCTGAGCCCGTCTCATCTCTTAATGTGATTCAATAATTACAAAGAAAGCAGACAGCTTAAAATCTTTTATTTTTAAAATGACATCAAAATGTATAATTATTTGGAATATGTACATTTAAGGACAATACAAAGAATACACATAGGATTGCCATTTCCCGTAAAAATAATAACTTCAATAATAAGAGCTTTTGAAAGACTTGAGATTTAATCAAAGCGCTCTCTCTCTCTCTCTCCAACAAGCAAATGAATCAGTATTTTACTCTATAAGAACAGAAGGAAAAAACATCACAATAACTTTATTTTTTAAAAATATTTTATAAGCTTTATAGCATAGCTTTATTTCTTAATCCTTCAAGTCTCAATATCAATTCAGAGTTGGTGGAAAAATGATATTAGGTAAATACAAAGGGGTTGAAATGTTACGTATGCATTTTAATATTTAAAAAAGAAAATGGCGTAACAATAAGATTTAAAAATGACCAATAACTGAACATAACAGTTTTACTCATTTAATAATTATAAACTCATTTATTTCCTTTATTTTTTCCATTATCCTCATTTATTTAAGCGGAACAAATTGCAATTTTTTAAAATAAATACTGGAAACTTTCTCATAACAATTTGTTTTGAAAATGTATAAATACTTTAAGAACTTAATTTTATAATGAATAGTTTTTTGCCCAATAATTTAACTTAAAAATGAATATTAATATTCTTAAAAAGTTTATGCTAATATTATTAAATTCTTATACTTAAAAACAGAAAACTAACTTCACCTCTTAAACTCAAAATAGTTATACAGTTATAAAACAAATAGTTGACACAAAATACATATGCATATGTAAGGAAAACATTTTTATTTAGAAAAATCTAATAATAAGAATTAAGACAGCTAGAACAACTCTTAACATTTATGTTATCACATTTAAATATGTTTTAAATAAAAGTGAGAAAAAAAAGTAAAGAATATTTTAAAGGAATAACAAAAATCCCAAAATCAGTAATGATTTTTTTCTATTTAACATTTATAAAGGAATTTATGTCATTTTAAGGCAAATTAAGTTCAGCCGTTTAAAAGATATTTATAACTAGCTAAGCAATCATAAAAATCTAACAGCGACTACATTTTAGTAGTTACATGCCAAGGTATACACAATCTATTTGCAACAAAATTCTCTTATTTCATTTCTTATTGATTGAATAAAACTGACCATTCAGTAATGGGGAATAAAAACGAAATTTTATGAATTTATTTGAATAAAAAAAAAACTCAGTCTATATTTCGAATTTAAAGAAGAAAAAAAATTTTCCCCAGCAATCTTGAAGTTGCTTCAATTGATGTTAACAACTTATGCCATTCTCAGCAGATACGTAACTCTAAGAGGCACCCTCTCCTCAATTATCCACAATGTAAAAACATTAATTGCCAGAATTAATCTATAATTGATGCTTCTGTCCCTTTTATTTTGCCTCTTGGTGTTGATGACCTAAACCAAATCGCTAAATATACTTTTAAAAATAGCAAAAAATGCTCTTATTTCAATCTGAAATATTATTTATCTTCTAAAACTTCATATATTTGTGTCAAAACATGCAAATTCGTCATTTTAACTAAACTTAGATACTTTCTCAAATGGTTAGGATAGATTAAGACATTTTTTAAACGCACTATCGTTCTTTTTTTAAACAGCTGTCAATTAACTGAAGCTCTCTCGTCGCTAGAGGAATCTGCAGTACTTTAAAAGGAAAAACAAAACCCAAAAGTTAAAAAAAATAAAAAATCGTTTAAAATGCCCTACAATTAAAAAAAAATCTCAATACTTCATCAAAAAAAAAAAAAAAAGACCTAATAAAGTGAGTATCTAAAAATGAAAAAAAATAGTGTGTCATCAAAGTTCGGGACTTGTTGATGACTACGCGTGTTTTTAGAGATAAAACACTTGTGATCAAAACAATGAATGGCCGGAATTTGCATTTTCCAAACTTATTTAAAAAAATTATACACAAAATCAAAGAGAACTGTACTCAATTTGTTGTTTCAGTGACAAATGATTGACATTTTAGTTAGACAAAAAAAAACTACAACACATTTTGTAATTTTACACTGCTAGTGGTTCCTAATTTACTGATTATGCTTTTGATGTGTCGTAAGCGTGACCTTTAATCGCATAGCCACCAAGAAATCCGGACTTGGCACTATGACCATGAGATATCTTTATACGGGGTTCCATAAAAGAGAACAAATCGTGAACCGACCAGTAATCAGAAGTTGCGGAACTACTGTTTTTCGCAGTTTATAGTGTTCTGCAATACAAAAATAATAATAAACACAAAAAGATTAAAATAAATAAAAAAAAAACAGTAGTCTGTAGCTATTCTGTCTTTAATGTAAGTTTGATTAAGAAACAAAGTTCAAACGCAATTAATTTTTACCAACGGATTGGTGCAAATATTAGCTGTTGTGTCAATGGACGAGATGAGGATGCCACTGTGGCCGACCAGTTATAAGAATTACATCTGATGAACGAAAGAGCAATTTTCCTACGCCATAAAGGCAGGTTTGTTTATTTTATTGTTTCCTGGAAATCGTGTACTCGAAATAAACATGTGCAGTTAGATTTCGCAGTAAAAATTGTTTTCATAAATACGGAAGATGTCAGCTACTTTAAAGGTTCATGATGATAGTATTGAACTGCCGGCGGTATAATACTTCTTTGGTACAATCAAAAAATAGGAAAACAGGATTTTTTTGCTCATATAACAAAAAGTTAGCGGTTTCAAAGTCTCCTGCCTCTAATTTGGATTGCAATTGCCATTACTTCACATGCGAAAGTATACATGTACATTCAGGGAAAACTAAAAGAATTGCGTGCATGTTATTCTAATAGAATGAAACATATTTTGCTCTGTAATTTTTTATGTACTTTATTTCTCAGAGGAAATAAAAGAGCATTAAATAATTAACAAAATAAAGACTATTTGATAATTTTTTAGCATTTCTTAAATTAAGTCTTTGCTGCTGATAAAGGCATAAAAAGTTAAAAGAACAAATTCGTAAAAAAATTATTTAGAATAACAAAATGACTCATGTAAACATGAATAAATATATCTTAATAATTTTTCACGTTTAAATAACCTTATTTATTATTCAAAACCATTTTGAATAGGATGGTGTAAATTAAGTTCTTCAACAAAATTGACAAAAAGAAGTGACTACATTTCAAAATTAGTTATAATCACTACAGTAAAAGAAAAGTAGTTATATTAACTACATTCATAATAAAGTAGCTGTAGTAAACTACTTTAGTTTAGTTAGTACTTTAGTAGTTACTTTTACGACCAATGGAACCAACAATGCCAAAAGCAAAAATTATGCATTTGTGTATCATTAGAAACAATTAAAAGAGTGAAATATATATATATTTTTAATGTTAACATTCTTCCTGTCACTAAATGCTTTTTAGCATGACGATTTAGATCATTCGAAAGACAATGTTTCGTTCTACTGGTATTTATGTTTTGATTTTTGTTAATTTTCAGATCATTAAAATGAACGGTAAAGTTGAGTCCTTATGACACCACATCCTTTTATTAAGGCTCAAATTTTAGAAAAAAAGCTGCTTGTGATATTTGTGAAATGCATGGAAGGGTATCATTGCTGAAAGAACCGCCTCGCGCCATATTTAAAAATAGAAATTTTGAATTTAAAGACACAGCTCATTCTAGTCACCCAGTTGAATTTGATGAAGAACAATTAAACCAGTCTTAGCACTAAAATTCGTGCCTAACGAGAAGGAAAATGTTAGAAAAAATATAATGCTTCCACATTTTAAACATTTAAAATAAAAAAATTAAATAATTAAAATAAATAAATTAATGTGCGTGGAAGAACCTTGATTACAGGTTAGGTTTGTCATATGACAAAAAAATCAAAACATTTGTCACCGGAAAAATGAAATGTTTCTTCAATTCTGTGTATAATTTAATAAAAAATGCGAAGTAATTTCGAATGTATAAATTTGTCATTCAATTATGATGTCTAATTATTTAAACATGCACTTTAAACTTAATGCTGTTTAAAAAATATGTTTCCAGCCATCTACTTTATCACATATTAACTGATTTAAACTAATTTTTTTCATGAATACCTAGGTTGAAGAATTTATAACAACATTTATTACAAACATATTGTATACTTAACTTAAATTATTGCTTATGTATTGCTACTAACATATTATTGCATATGAACTGTAGCTAATATAAGAATTTTGGTGAAGATGTATAACAAATGACAGAATTTGACATAATCACAATTCACTTCCATAATATAGAACTAAAATATTGGTATTATGCAAGAAAAATGTTGATGTTTAATGGATGGTCAGTTAAAAATGACTAAATGAAAACTTTTATAAGTCATACTGAATAGGAATGAATTAAGATTTGCTTTCATCAAACCAAAACACAAAGAAAAATACAAGTTACAACATTTTCTCAGGTATTTTAAAAAATCTAGCTTCTAACACTTTTGCATAAACTTACACAGATAGAACTGGAGAAATAAAACATAAAAATACATTTTTAATCATAAATATTTGCTTTCATTTTTTTTTTCCTTCACCCAAATTTTAATACTTTGCTTTTCACAGAAAAATAGAGGGGAGGAGGGGGAATTTATTAAACGTTAATTTTCAACTGGAATTTTTCTATCTATAACAGTTAATTCAAAGTTCATTGAGGAAATTCTTATTTGAGTTTTAAGAGGTCCAAGAAAGAAATCCTTAGTGACCTGAGGTGGTAGAAAAAAAAAAAGAAAAAAAAGGTTTTCAGTTTACATTATCAGAATGCAATACTATAGAAATGAAGGAGAGGGGGGGCGGGTGACTATACATAAAAATCATTTTCATTCTGATAGGGCAGATCTTCGATATCCAGAGAAGATGTAATATTACATTAATGATATAACTGTTATCAACATAAAATTAATATCAGCTATGACAATATCTATATCTTATTTAAAGGTATTTACTGACCCTCCCTCTCTGAATGAATGTGCAACAAAATATTTGTATTCAAAGGTTACAACCTCTATTATCATACATAAAAATTAACTGAACTACTAAAAGAAAGAACATAAAATAAAAATGAGAGAAGATGAAAACTTGCCTATATGAACTGCTGATCATATAGGGAATATAGGAAGATTCATATAAGAAGATTCTCCGACTACAATAAATCTGCAGTGCTAGTTCGCTCACCGGTATATTTAATTAACTTTCATCTTTGTTATTATTATTACATCTTCAATTTTGATTATTATTCAAAATCACATTTTTCTTAGTTTGATCGAAAAATAGGAAAACAGGATTTTTTTATCTTTCAAATTCGGAGAGTGAGTGGCTGTAAATGAATATTGCTCAAGAGGAAAAAAAAATTTTGTTATAAAGTGATATTATGCATCATTCTATCATTGGTCACCATTTTACAATGATTCCCTTTTTAATAAGTTATATCAGTATTTTTAATTTTTGGGGAAAAAAATTTTGGCTACAGAATCCTAAATGATCGAGGCTTCTTTTGTCAGAATTATAAAACAAAGTTCATTAGCAGCGGTGAATACACTAACCAAAAAAAAAAAAAAAACTACCAAATGTTTTTAAAATATTCAAAGTGATGAACAAAATCTTGAATAATTAAGAGTTCGTTCTTGGTGCATGCATTTGCTGAAAATGAATAAAATAAGCTGATTTATGGTTTTCAAAAGAAAACTCTTATAAAGGTTGAGAATAGTAATCAGAGACACATAATTTTTTATTTTGAATTCAGGTATTTTACTTTGAATTGAAAAGCTCAATGAAAAACACTCACTGAATTTTTTTAAATGAATAGTTTATTCAATATATTGCTTTTTAATTTGTTTTTTAGGTTTTACTACTTTTTTATTCGCATTTTACATAAATAAGTTCATATAAACAATTGAAATATTTTATAAATTATGGATTATTGATTAGATATAAATAAAATTGTCACTGGTTAAAAAAAAATCCTAACTTTCGGAAGCCCAGTACTCCACAAGAACACCATTTAGGAACCACTGAATTAGATAAGTTAAAAAAAATAATACATGAATACAAAATAATTTCTAACATTGCAGTGTTAAGAATTTCAAAATAATATCTTAGGCAAAAAATGTGAGAAACTTTTAGAGCAACCAAGAATAAAGTTTGAATTTTAAAATGGTACTCTTTGAATAAAGTGGTTTGGAGAATTGAAATACTTAATTTCTTTAAAAATTATGTAATATAACGTAAAATAATGAAAGAATGTTTTGAAAACTGAATAGTTCAGAATGATCCATAGAACTGTAAACATTATTTAGTGTTTTAACATTAAAATATTCTATCAACAGAATATTTTTAATACCTAGAATTTCAATTTTCAGCAGGGTGAACATAAAATTCGGTCAAAACAAATAATATTGCACAGGCATTATTTTATTTTTAAATTTTTGCAAAAAATAAAGGCAGTTTTTCAAAAATCATTCATTATAAATTTATATATATAGTTTTTTATATATATAACCAACTGCGTGATAAAATAAAATTTAGAAATTTTAATTCAACATGGTGATGTGCAAATTTTGAAATAGCCATGAAAGCAGGTTAACATAAATAATGGTAGAAAAAGATATGTAGAAGTTTTGCTTGCATTAAGCATGAATTAATTACCTATGCAAAAATTGCTAAATGTGATTTTAAAAAAATTGCATTTTTTTACAATCTAACAAATTTTTAAATTTAAAAAATAGCTTTGTATTAGTTAGAAAAAAAAACAAGAACATAAGAAGTTTTTTGAAAAAAGCAAATTTGTTTATGAATAAAAAATTTTTAAAAAAAAATACAAAATAATGGGAATTTAAATATCAAACTTAGAAATCCCAGATTTAAAAAAACCACTGCTATACACCCGAAATATATGATTTTTTTTTTAACATTAATTTTGCCCCTTAAAAAAAAACTGGGGAACAGTTTATTGAATCCTATCACAACATATGTGGACTCATGGCATATGTATCACTGCAGAAATCAAATATTATCGAGAAGAAAAAAAAGAAAACAGGCAGGTCTCATTAAAAATTGCATAAATGAAAGTGTTTTTTAAGTGAAACAATTCTGTTTTATTAGTTTCAACATAGCCTTCATAACTACGATTCTTAACTATTAAGTTTGTACATAGAAATGATTGAGGTTGCTCACTTCCACTCAAACTAGTTAAAAGTTTTCATCATTTAGTGCAATTATAAATCTCACAAGCACTGTTTCACTAACTATAATAAACAAGTCATAAGGAAAAATCAATCAATTATGGTGTATTAAATCAAGTTTCAGAAGCATTCTCCTTAATGGCTAACTTCACAAATGTATCCTAATATATAGTGGCTATTCAGCTTCAATGAAGGCTTATTAAAATAAGAGACATGAGGTCCCTTACTATATCTTCTCATCAAAATCAACAAAAGGCCATTCTCATTATAAATTAGCAAAAAAATTAGTTTCAAGCAAAGGTTTCTTTAGATAATGTAAAATATTTTTTTAATAAAAACTAAACCTGAACGAGGTAGTTAGTACTTTATTTATGTCGCACTAGAGCAGCATAATGGGCAATTGGCGACGGTCTGGAAAACATCCCTGAGGATGATCTGAAGACATGCCATCACAATTTTGATCCTCTGCAGAAGGGATGGCTTTGGAAGCCCGAGGATCTGCACACGAATAAATTAGAACAAATACAAAAAGCAATATATAACAAAAACAGCTATCTCTTTGTTGCACTGAATAAGAAAACAGGTAAAGTGATTTATCTATGTTAAAAATTTAAATGAGTCTAAAAGTACGATTATCTAGCAAATCATCATAATGAGAGGTTGTACAGTTTAAAACACACTTAAGATATTTGTGTTAACTCAATCTATGTTAAATCTACTCAATCTATGTAAACAGTTAACAAAAATTTTATATTTTAATAAGATCATAGAAGACTGTAAATGAAACAACAAATAGAATAGAAATACAGCCATGGATTAAATGAGTTGCATAACTTTTTGCATTTTTGGTCACAGAATTAAATTTCTCAAATGGCAGTTTTACAAGTTTTCTTTTAAACTTTAAAAATGCAATTTTAACAAAACAATTTTAATCAAGTTATTTAAAATATGGTTTTAATTGCTTCAAAATTCAGAAAATATTTTTATATTCATTTTGTTTAATTAAAATTGTAATTTACTTTATAAAATTAAATACTAAAATGAAAGCGTTGCAAAATTTATGTTTACACAGCACAACCTTGATTTCTATTTTATTATAAATACTAAAAACATTGATACGAAACAAAGAGACACCCTAACTGTCCAAGTATATCACCTAATTTTCATAAATCAATAACATTTTTTTTGTAAACATGAAAAGCCCATTAAATATGTACACCATAATAAAAATATAACATTAAGAGTTTAATATTTCAATGCAAATAACAATCAACAGAATCTCCAACAAAATTAAATAATATTTTAAAATTCAACCTGACATTGACCATGGAAAATTAAAATACACAATTACTTTCCTTTTTAAGACATTTAAAAGTATATCAAGTCCTTAAATAATAAAAAATTGAGTTTTATCAAACATTTAACTACTTAGAAAACTATTTAAAAGAATTTCTTTTAAAACATGATAGTAACATTTTTAGATGTTCTCAAACAGCTCATAAACTGAAAATGAACTGAAGCAAGCCAAAATATAAATTTTTTTTTTAGATAAGAAATTAATTTTGAGGTACATTTTGGTCTAAGAGGAAAACAGCAGCTGTTTCTGGAGTTAAAGTAACAGATGTGGAAATAAGATTCTGAACACTAGATACAGCAGTTTCCGGAAGCGACACAGGCGTGACGAGCGGGTCTCGAATGGGATTTTGGGCAAGAGGGTTCATGGGTTGAATGGCTGACGTGCTTGGAATGTGGCTCATTTCACTGACAGGAAAGCTTGATGGATCAGAGTGAATGTGGGATTTGGCGATTCCTGGTGCTCCGTTGACTGTTCCCAAAATGGGTTTCAGAATGACGGGTTTTATGGAATGAATTTTCTTATGCCTCTTCAGAGTGTAGGTAGTATTGAATTTTTTGTTGCACACCTCACAAGTATGGGAGCGTGGGTTACGATGAATGGTTTGCATATGTTTGCGGTGCACAGATCGAGTTTTGAAAACAGCACCGCACATCTCGCAAAGGAATGAACGGAATTCCGAATGAACGGCGCGATGCTCTAGGAGGTGTGATTGAGAACGGAATTGTTTCTCACACACACTGCACTTATAGTTTGTGTTTTCAGAGAGTACTTCTGAGTGAATCAGATTGTGCTGTTGCAGGGCATCTCCTCTCTTGAAAGCTTTACCACAAATGTGGCAGAGGTAGGGGCGCTTATCACCGTGAGCACTGCTCATGTGTCTGTTGAGGTGCTCTTTGCGATGAGTTTTGTAGCAGCACTGCTCGCACTGATGCACGAAATTCCTCTTTAAACAGTGCAGCCGCTGATGCCTGTCATAATAATGTTGCTTTGTTGTCTGGTAACTACACTGAGGACAACTCAGTATCTGGGAAAGGAAAGAAAAAAAGAATAAAATTTATAACAAAATTATTGATGAAGATAATATAAAATTCTTTAAAATAAAACCTTCTTATTAAATAAACTTGAATTTAAAAAAAAACAAAAAACAGTTAAAGTAAAAATATTTCAATTTTTAAACCATTCACAAGACACATTCTACACATATATTAAGCAAGAAATAAAAAAGAAACAATGTCGATATATATAGTTATAGACTAATTAAGATATCTAAAATTATGTGTTAAAAGCACATCAAAAGTTAAGCATTAAGCTGCCAACCTAATGCCCAAACAAAATCAATCAGATTTAATATAAAACTATCACATATAAAAATATATATGCAATGTATTCTTATTGCATAAAATTGAAGTTTAAGGGATTTTTATCATAGTTAATAAATTGGTAGAAAATAAATGAAAAAATAATGATTGTAATATTTGTTATTATTTTTAGAATGACAAGCATTTCTTACTTTTTATTCCAATTCAAAAAATATGAAGTTTTAAAAAGACTTTTCAGAACAACTTCTGTTTAAAAAGTTGTTAAACTTTAATTTCAGCACAGATCACAGTCTGTTTCTTATTTATAATGCTTTCTAACTACAATATAAATGAATTCTTACAATGACTTTTGCTGTATCCTAAAATGTTGATTTTAAATTAATAAAACGAATTTACTTTTTGAGATACAGCATAGCTATGCCGCAAAATATGTGATTTCATAAAAAAATTTTAAGTTTTTGCTTGAAGTTATTAAAACAATTTTTTCAAAATAAGTTTTATTTTTTAATGATTCCGTATAGCTATTTAGAAAATTCAGAGTAGCCCAAATATATTTAAAATTAGATTAATTGATAAGATTAGATTGAAATTAAATGTAAATGTTGCTTATGCTATGAGGTTTAATGTTCATGAATGACAACTAATTTGAGTAGGCATTAGCATTTTTTATTTTAAATACTTAACACATCAGAAAGGTTTCGGAGAAAAAAATGAAATATTGGTTTTCAAGAAGAAAAATGCATTTAAAAAAATCCTTTCAAATAAAACAACAATTTATCATTTTCTATTAGAGATACATTTTATTATCAGCGTAATATTCATTTATTATTATTTTTAAGTTAAATTTAAAGCATAAATAATTTCCTAAAAATTTTTCAAAAATAAGAAAAGGATTCTTTTTTTTAAATCCACAAATCTCCAGAAAAATATAATTATTTTTATCTAGATGAAATTGCCTTGTTTATGATCTATGAAGGCCCTTTTCAAGAAAAAATTAAATTTTGTTCCCTCATCAAATCCTAAGGCCAACTTTAGCTCCATGCTGAGAAATATCTAAACTCAGGACTAGTTCTATTTATGCTCATCAACTTTTATTATGTCAGCCTTTAATGATTAGGCAACATGTATATGAACATGTTATTTGATAATTTAAAAAATTAGAATTTAAATTTTAAGGATAACTTAGAATAAACTCACTAGAATAGTGACATGGTCGTGCATTGTCAGCAAATATGTGTGTTGAGTCTAAAAATCTTATCTCTGGCTCATATAGATTCTAGATTAAGCATATAAAGGTTTCATACCACACAATATCTAGCTCAGGTTAATTTTCAAGAAAACGGGTCACAAAAGTGCCTATTTTTTTTAATACATGTATTTGATAAGTGCTGACATCTAGTTTAAAATAAACTATCTACAATTACCTTAAAAATATCCTGTTACTGCCATCTGGTGTGTAAAATGAGAAATAAAATGTTTTCCAGGCAAAAGAAATGAATTAGTTTTATTTTTTTTATTAACGCGCTACTACTGAACACTCCAGCCCAAGAATATCACGGGAGCGAAAAATAGAGGGTGAAACCTCACCCCGTCATTTTCACAGGAACGAGAAGGAAGTGGTTAAATCATAAATTGTGTCTAAATAACACCCATTTTATTTCAATAGATTCTATAATGAAACAAAAGAATTTTCTTATCAAATAAATTTTACAGCTTGAGTGTTCAGCTGTTATTGTATTTAAAGATGCTGGAATGTCTGTAGATAAAGTGCGTGGAAAAAATAAAAATAATGAAATCACTCACTTCACTTACAAGTGAAGTGGACTGCTGAGGGGAGTGCTTAAGCTTTGTGTGCCTCAGGAGAAATTTAATATCATCTGTTTGGTAAACACACTCAGTACACGTATGAACAGTGGAGCTATGGCTCATTTTGTGACGACGCAAATGGCTCAGGCGAACAGAAGAGAATGAACACTGGCTGCACTTATGAATTGTGCTTACCTAGAACAATAAGTGTTCAGTGTTACAGATAAGAAAGAAAATTTTCATTTTTCCGAATAAAGTATAAAGATTGCAGAATATTGTTAATTCATACAAAATATGTAGACTTGAAGAGTCGATTTATAGCCCAGTCCTACTCAACAACATTCCTGAATAGATAATATCTCTTATAAAAAATCAAAATATAATTCAAAATATCCAAGTGCAATACGTGATTAATTGGAGGAATGAGAATAGCAAGGAAAGTTGAAACATTAATTTTATTTAAAATATTAAAGCATTTATAATTTGCAAATATCAAAATGACCCGCAAATTGGCATTGATATGAACATTATAAATGAAAGCTTAGTAAAAATAAATTCCTATCTAAGCAATTTAAATTAAGGTATAAAGTTTGCCATTGCATAGAAACGCATTCTACAATTATGATAACATTAAGCAATGGTCATACTTAATGACGTAAATACTTACGAATAATTAAAGAATATAAATATTTTCAAAGCATGGCACTTTTAAAGAAATGAATCATTGTGGTGTTCCAAACTAAGCTCATAGTTTGGCTCATTTTAATGTTCATTATACAACTTTAAGAAAACTTTTTAAAAAGAAAAACAGCAGCATTAATAACTTTTTAGACAGAAATACAAAAGCTGTACCAGGAACTCAAGTGAGCATTTTCAATATAGATTCAGGTACTTGTGATGTTGTTGATCATACATTATCCTTTTCTACATCTTTTAATTTACCCATCAGTTATTTAAGATCTTTTACTTTTGTTTTTAAGTTCCTATTCAAAAACCTTTAATTTTACTCCTCTATGCAAGCTATAAGCTAATTTTCACACATTAATATCTTCGGGTTTTATACTTTATCTCCTTCCAAAATATTTTTGCCACAAGCAAATTGAAATATCTATTAGATAAATTTTTCCAGTAAGTTCTTTTCTAGAAAGGTCTTAAAGTTTCTCTATAAATAAAGGTATGATCAGATTAAAAGAGAGATTATGATATAAAATAAGATTACAAATTTGATGTAATAATAAATATTAAAAGGGTCACATTTTTGATGACAAGTAACGGATATTTGACCTAATTTTTGAAAGTGGTTCTTAATTTGTTTGAATTATTGACATCAGCATTGCAGAAAATACGGTTTTTATTTCTCGAGAAATAAAATAGAGGTTCAAGAAAATTTGAAATTTATATTTGAACTTGAAATTTATCTCTTCTTTCTTTTAAAATTGACCCTTTGAAGAAAAAAAAAATAACCCTTTGCTAAAAAAATTCAACTAATATGGGGGTTGCTATTTATATTTCTGGCCTAATAATGAAAAAACAAATATGTAGGATTGAAATTGGTTTTATTGTTTTTCAAAATATTCTCCATGATGATCAATACACTTTTGCATGCGTTTGAACCAATTTTCAAAACACTTTTTCCAGTCCGATTGAGGTAACTCCAAAACATGCGTTTTGAATGCACCAACCGCTTCTTCGGGGGTCGAAAATCGTTGTCCACATAATTTATTTTTGATGTGTGGGAATAAGAAGAAGTCATTGGGTGCCAAATCAGGGCTGTAGGGTGGATGACCCATCAGTTCGATCTTTCGCTCCATCAGAAATGCCTTTGTTTGAGTCGATGTGTGAGAGCTCGCATTGTCATGATGAAGAATGATTCGCCTGTTCTTCTGCTTTTTTCGAATTTCTCCGGTGACTTCTGGCAAACAAATGGTCGTGTACCATTCAGAATTGACTGTCCTGCATTGCTCTAAAGCCACTGTTGCCACATGACCATTAAAGCCGAAGAAACAGGCAATCATTTGTTTCGTTGTGCTTCTTCCTCGAACAACTTTTGTTGGTTTTGCCTCGTCTTGGAAGACCCATACAGTTGATTGATGTTCTGTTTCCGGCTCATATGCATAGATCCATGATTCGTCACCTGTGTAGATGTTATACACAGCCTTTGGTGTACCTCAAACATATTTTTCCAACATTTCCTTGCACCAATCGACACGAGCCTTTTTTTGAGCGTTTGTCAGATTATGCGGGATCCAACGCGAAAAAATTTTTTTACTCTCAAATGTTCATGCAATATTTTATTGATGCTAGTCATACTAATGTCCAAAGACGCCTCTATCTCATCAGGGTTCCTACACTATTTTGAGAAAACAATATCCTGACTTTTTTAGGTTTTTCCTGACTTTTTACAATAAAATTCCTGACCCGCCGTTTCCCACTCTAACAAAATTTTTAACATTGCAGTTTCAATTAGTAATAATATGCTACTTAGTCATAAGTATTATAGATTGAATAGGATAAACACTTATATATTAAAGTGGAATTGCGTAATAGCACTTTATATCCCAAATTATATTTTCAGAAAACTTGTGAAACACATTTTTAATTATCATGATTAGATTAAACTTTTAGTGTGTTTTTGTAGTTAGATACGCAAACTATTTAAATAAAAAGATCAAGAAAATCTTTTTATTATGCAAAATTATGGAAATATTATTTTATTTAATGTTAAGTGGAACCAAATGCATGAGTGTCGTCAGGATAAAAAGGGTTAATCAAATCTGCGAGATATGTATCAGTATCTTCAAATAATATTTACTCTTAAAACATACTAGAACATTTGTTACATTAAAACATTAATTTTTAAAAATCACAATTTCACTTAAAACTGACTTTTTTTTTAAAAGATAATATTGAAATATAAAGGGGAAAAAAGTCAAAAAAAAGTTAATTATATACAAATAAAAATTCAGATAGAAAAATTATGCAACTTGTGAGAAAAATAAAATCAAAAATATCTTTTTTTTCAGTATTTTAAATTAATTTCTGTAATACTGTAAGCTTCCGGAGAAACTCAGGGGCTCCTATGTTATATAATATTTCTCAACATATTTTGTTGTTTTACAATTTCTGAATCAAGAACATCCAGTTCTGTTGCAGCAGTTTTCCTCAATTCAGATTTTCTTAATTTCAAATCATCTATCTTTTCTTTTATTCGTTTTCCAGAAATTTCAGCTTTTTTATTCTTTTTGGCTTCTAATGCATGTCTCCATCTTGTTCTAGATCCTTTCACAGCATCTAGCATTTTTTCATTAATGTCTATGCTTTTTATTCCATTTATAAATGAAACATAATTATACGCACGCCTTTGTGAAATAATAGAGTCTTCATTGAGGTTTTCAACCAATAAGCTTTTATTGATTGAAAACCCCCCTTCGACTGTTGCGTTACCATGAGAGAGGATAAGAAAATTTTTTATAACCTCCCACTAATTTTCATTTTTTTTTCTCAGTACAAATATTTCGAAAAAAATTATCTAATCTCTTTTGCTGTGGATTAAACTCTAAGAAACTCTTTTGCTCTCCTTTTTTTTTGGCAACATCACAAAACAGTAAAAATTCCTTTTTTGATTTTTCAGCTGTTGTTTCAGCTACTATCATCTGTAAACCAGCTATTCACACAAAGAGCAATAAACCTAGCAACCCCAACCCTATCAAAAATTCCTTATCATTGGATAAACAGGAGGAAAATTGCTAACAGGAAGGTTCTACGAGGGAAAGAGGAATGTTATTATGAGGAAATTACATATTCTGAATTACAGAATTTTTGCTTGAAACTTTATTTTTGCCTGTCAGTCTTTGAATGAATTATAGTTTCTTTTTATTTTCCTAACTTTATGAATATGTAAGAAAAATCCTGACTTTATGAATATGCAAAAAAAATCCTGACTTTTTAGCTTAATTTTAGAATAGCCTGACTTTTGCAGGTTTTCATGACCGTGTAGGAACCCTGCTCACAGTATGTCACATGACGATCTTGCTTTATCAGTTCACGCACAGCATCGATCTTTTCTGGCACAACAACGGATTTTGGACGACCTGCACGGGATTCATCCTGGATCGAACATCGACCACGATTAAATTCGTTATATCAATTTTTTACAGTGCTGTAGGATGGTGCTTTATCGCTGAATAAAGAATTAAGTTCATCGAAGCACTCTTGTCTTGACAATCCACGTCGAAAGCTATGAAAAATAATGGCACGAAAATGTTCACAATTCAATTCCATTTTTTGAAAGAGAAGAACTTTTCAATTTACTGTCAACAACACAAAGGAAACTATAATGGTAAATCGTCTGCTGAATTTATGTTTAAAAACATCAAACTTTCGATTAAAATCGTCTGCGGTCGCCTAGCAACACTTACTGTTGCCAAGGCCAGAAATATAAATAGCAACCCTCGTAATGAGATAAAGACACACTCAATTTAAACACAATCAAACTTTTTATATGATGAAAAATGAAAGGTTTTATAAAATACTGTATATCTTTTAAAATTGGCACTGTTGATTTGAAAACATTTCTGCATGTGAGATAATTTGCTTTTGCAGAGGATACAGTGGTAAAGCATTGAGACTTAACTTCACATGCAAATATGTCAGAATACTTCATTACTAGTAAGGTATGGTTGAATTTTGAACAACAAATAAAAATTCTTGTAACTAACTACCATAGAGTAGAAGGGAGTATAAAAAAGTGAAGCCATACAAACATGGAGACGGCCATGCTACCAGGTTCAAGGTGTGGGTCAAACACTTTATCGCCGTCATAATTCAAACAGCTATTTTTAATTAAAATTACACAATTCTATTTCGAAACAATTACTAATGTACATAAACTGTATGAATGTGCATACTTTAAAAATCATTTTTCTTCTTCACTCCAACATCAGTTTGATAATGATCCAGTTGATAACCATTTTCTACATTAAATCAGTAGTCTTCGCTTAATGTTATCACTTTGGGATACAATAATTTTTAAAATATTATCAGGTGGTAGATAACACTAAAGTAATTACAAAAATTTATTACTAATACTAAATTTGAATATAAATTGTAGAATAAAACCCAGGTTATATCTATGTGCTGTAATTTTCCCTTAACATAAAAATTATACATAATTGTTTTTTAAATAAAATCAATTGTTGTCTATAACTTTCCCACAGACGCTCATAAATAAATTATTCATGTTCATAATCCTTTTTAAAGCCCACTTAAATATCTAATCTTTGAAAATGACTGTTGTCATTCAAGCAGTTTCGTAAGCAGAGCAGTCTACAGGAAGTTTTTTTAACACCTTTAAAATAAAATTGATTATGACTTTTCTTGCTAATAGAATAGGTGTTAAATCTTTAACTTTAAAGATTTTAATTTTCGGTATAAATTCCTTTTGTTTAATAATATTGTTGTTAGTTTCTTTCTACTATTTGCATTAGACACACTATTGTAGTTTGGGCAGTGATGTATATTTAAAATAAATTAAACATCACAGAAATATACAAATATATGAAATTTGTTAAAAATTCTTTGTGACCAGTTTAATGAGAAATAACTTAAACTCTCTTTGTCAAATGAATAGAAAAACTAAAACTTATATCATCTAGTATTAACTTTTCATTTGAAAAACAAATTAAGTTTTACAAGTGCTTTATTTGTAAAATTCTTATTTGTTTTTTTTATAGTTATTTCTAAAAATAATTAACAATCATATTTATGCAGAAAAATGTGATAACGATGAGTGGATTTTTCTGTGGCTAATAATTAAAATATACTATTTACAACTGCTGACTAGATATTCACTGAATTTCTATTTAAAAAAAAAGCTTGTAAAGTAATTAATAAAGCAAAGCAAATTAATTTGAGAGAAATCAAATCCAAATTATTACATAAGCATACATAAATCAAGGAAAAAAGTAATAAATACAGTACATAATTAGTAAAAGTAATAAATCAGTACATTCTTCCACTTCCATCATTTAAAAAAAAAAGTTGACAAAAATTAAAACATAGCACTTTAACAACTTTGAATGTAGTTTTTGAAAGAAAATTATTTAATAAAGATAGCACCAGTAAAACTAGACTAGAATCAGAAATTATTTGTAGAAAAAACTTCTGCTAGCAAAATTATAAAAGAAAAAACAATCACCTTCTCGTGGATGGCTTTATGCTTCAAAAAATGACTGCTTCGCTTTGTTTTAAATGAACATAAATCACAGAAATGATTGTATGGTAACTTGGAATCTAATTTTGAATTGTTTCCCACAAATGAGTGATCTTTGGTTTTTAACTCGGGTGAATCGAAATCAGACTCTTCCGTTGCCAGTTTCATATGTTCTAAGTTCTCACTTAATGTTTCTGGATCATTTATTTTAAGATCAGCTGACCTCTGAGATTTATTTCTCAGAATGGACTTCTTTTTCAGTGTCCGCAGCTGAGGGGGTAGTCTCATAGAGCGCAGTCGCTGACTCACTCTGGGTCTTTCTTTCAAGATGAACCGTAACTTCTTCGACATTGACCTCAACCTCATGGGACGAATGCTGCTTTCAGTGTTCGTGCTGACATTTCCGTTGGAAGAGAGATTCGTCTCCAATTCCTTGTCGTCTGACAAACAAGAAGTCTTGTCCGTCCCTTCTTTGTCGTATGAGGTATTACCTTCATCGGCAAAGCTGCTGTTCTCCTCAGACAGGGTGGTGCTTTCTCTCTCGCTAGACTCCTTTGCAAGTTGCTTGATGTGCAAGCAATTCAAAAGTTCCTCTAGCTTGCTCTTGGCAATCAGAATGCCATCTAGTGTCCCATACAAATGATACTGTGTTTCATTTTCAGTTGTTATCTCCTCTATGCTGGCAGTGAGCACATACTGACGAACAGTGTCGACGACACAACCTTCGATTGCTCCAATAACATTCGGAGAAATGATGGCCCGCACTTCTGAATATATCTAAATAGAAGATATAAATAGATTTATGTTACAAATTTGAAATATTATTACAAAACTATAAAATTTTATAAGAAGTATTTTAGCTAAATATGTCTTTTTTACTCATATTTAAGTTTAATTGTTTAAGTTCAATAGAATTATTTAACTACAACAAAAGAAGATTTTTTTCCTCTTTACCACATACTAAAGTTCTAATATCAAAAAAAAAAAAAAAATTAAATGCAGTAATAAAAATTAAGCTGTTTGTAATTAACTTTATCAGGGTTCCCACTCAATGATGAGATTGAAATTCAAGGACTTCCCAGGACTTTTCAAGGACCTCAACAAACTTTTCAAGGACCTTAATCTAAGACCAATTTTAAAAATTATTCTCTTCCATTTTACTAGAAGCAACAATGCTTGTTGTGGCAATAATTAATTTCAAATATAATACCTAAATGCTTTGCCTATATAGAGAGAAG